TTTGGATAGTAAATAATATTCGAGTTTAGGCATCATGACCCCCTGGTCATTCCTAAGAAATCTGATTCGGTAAGTTTATCTACAATGAACGATTTCACATCTAACCCTCTGAATGACTTTGTATACAAACCAACCACTGAATTATGCAGAGATTTTGAATGGTGGAATTCCCCTTTAACCTGGAGTGATTTTTATCCCCAATCCTGCTTTGGAAGTTCCTCTGTACCTCACATTTTAGTGTTTCCCTGCTTAAACACGCCTGTTTTAACATTGGAAATGAGCTTATAAAAACAAAAAGGTGTCTCAGAGCAGGAAAACTAAAACAGTGCAGCGCAGGGGGCTCCAAAAGCAAGACTGGGACCACTCACATAAATAAAAACCCCTGCTAAACCTGCTAATCAAAGCCTGTCCTTGCACTTTTTTCACAGTGTAGGGGGCTCCTGAAGCAGGGTTAGGACCCCTCAGATAAAAAGTATGACAAAGACTGCTCTGCAGATCTTCTGCAGGTAAACCGAGTCACATTGTATTACTTCACTAACTGCATTACATTACTGTAATTTGTGCTGTAAAACTGCCGTTTTAATCCCACAAAGGGCCTGGAAACACGTTTACAGGAGAAACAGGTGCCTCAGAGCAGGAGAAACTGAAACAGTGCAGGCCAGGGGGCTCCAGAAGCAAGACTGGGACCACTAATACAAAAAACCCTGCAAAACCTGCTAATCAAAGCCTGTCCTTCTATTTTTCTGCTCTAATTCTCATAATTTAACCTCTTGAAAGGCTTTAAGCTTATGAGGCCAAACATATTAACAATACTGACCATTATTAGAGTAAAAGGTGAAGCACAGGGGGTTCCAGAAGCAGGAAAGGGACCTTATTTTGACGGTGAAAGGTATTTTAAAGCCTTTCAAACACAGACATGTTACATTAATACACATTGCACACGTTAACTTTATTACATAACTGTACATTTGAATGTTTTCCTTCTCTAACATGTCTGATTTGACCTCAGTAAGGGCTTGGAAATGAAATTACGAGGTGAAACTGCTGTTTTAACCCTATACAATCTCAGGCTTATTACATACTAAGGCTTATTATTCAGTAACTACAGTCTCAGAAATAAAGGTATGAAACTGTCACTGGGGTGGTTCCCTCAAGGGTACATCTCAGTACCTTTAGTCAGGGAACATAATTGTACCATAATCCACTGAAATTATATTTTCTAAGTTGTACTGACTCCACACACCCCGTCTCGTCTCCAGGCTTTTATTTTATTGCTCAGTTTTAAAACTTTAAATTATGAAAAAGGTACAAATATGAATTTTTCACCTGGAAAAACTTATTTAAGGTTCACAACTGGACCTTAAAACCACTGTTGGACCTTTGAGGGAACATTTACATTGTCTGTAGGTATGTTTAGCCCTTTAAATGGTCAGGGTCTGCTGGTGGGCCCAAAGTTTGATTACACTCTTCTACAATCTAAGAATCGCTCAGCCAGTTTGCACTGAAGTCCCTACACTCTCAGAAAAAAGGTAGTAAACTGTCACCGAGGCAGTGCCCCTCTTGTCACTGGGGTGGTACCCTTAAGGGTGCATCTCAGTACCTTTAGTCAGGGAACATAACTGAACCATAATCCACTGAAATTATATTTTCTAAGTTGTACTGACTCCACACACCCCGTCTCGTCTCCAGGCTTTTATTTTATTGTTCTGTTTTAAAACATTAGATTACGAAAAGGTACAAATACGAACTTTTCACCTGGAAAAACTTATTTAAGGTTCACAATCAGATCTTAAATCTACTGTTGGAGCTTTGAGGGAACATTTACATTGTTTGTACCTTGATGAATGAAAAATGTACCTGAACAGAACCTTTGTTTCTCCCAGTGCACAGGGACTTCAATGCAAACTGGCTGAGCTATTCTTAAGTCATAGAAGTGTGTAATAAAGCTTTGGGCCCACCGGCAGGCCCTGGCCATTTAACCCCCATTTAAGGGGTTAAACCAGGAAAGGAAAAAAGTGCTAGTGCAAGTCTTCAGAATCAGGATTGGGACCACTCTGGTAAAAAGTCTGTTAAGCCAGATCTTCTGCAGGTAAACAGAGCCACATGGCATTACACCACATTGCGTTACCACACTAACTGCATTTCCTGTTTGAACTCTCCCATTTTAATCTCACGAATAGCTTGGAACTGAGTTTATGAGGCCGATCAGATGTTAGATCATTAAAAGGGGTGATGTTCAGGGGGCTTCACGAGCAGGACTAGGCCCACTCGGGTAAGTAAGCCTGTCAAAGCCATTTTTAAAAAAGGTTCTATATAGAACCATCTACAACACATTCTCCATCAATCCAAAGAACAATTTCACCATGCAGAGAACGATTTACGCATGAAATGATTCTACATACAACTAACTAGAACCGTTCCCTTTACTAAAGATCCCTTAAAGAACCATCTTTTTAAGTGTGTACGTGAAGTCAATAACAGACTAACCAGGCTAGTCTAATGAACAGCCAGCATTAATATACTACACACCTAAAAAGATGGTTCTTCAAGGGTTCTTTAGTAAAGATAATGGTTCTATACACAACCATGAACCCTCAAAGGACCATTTGCATGTTTAAAGGGTTCCCTGCATGGTGAAATGTCTATCCAACACCAAAAATGGTTCTTCTATTGTAACAATCTTGACATGGTAACAACAGCAGAACCCTTTTTTGGTGCTAAGTTATATAGAACCATTTTTGCAGAACACTGCTGGGGGCTATACAGAGCCATTAAACAGAACTACATACAACACATTCTCCATCCATCTGAAGAACTATTGCACCATGCAGAGAGCCATTTAAGCATGAAATGATTTTAAATAGAACCCAAGGTTCTAAATAGAACCGTTCCCTTTACTAAAGATCCCTTGAAGAACCATCTTTTTAAGTGTGTACGTGAAGTCAATAACAGACTAACCAGGCCAGTCTAATGAACAGCCAGCATTAATATACTACACACCTAAAAAGATGGTTCTTCAAGGGTTCTTTAGTAAAGATAATGGTTCTATACAGAACCATGAACACTCAAAGGACCATTTGCATGCTTAAAGGGTTCCCTGCATGGTGAAATGTCTATACAACACCAAAAATGGTTCTTCTATTGTAACAGTCTTGACATTGTAACAACAGCAGAACCCTTTTTTGGTGCTATATAGAACCATTTCTGCAGAACCCTTTTGGTGGCTATACAGAGCCATTAAACAGAACTACATACAACACATTCTCCATCCATCTGAAGAACCACTGCACCATGCAGAGAGCCATTTAAGCACGAAATGATTTTAAATAGAACCCAAGGTTCTAAATAGAACTGTTACCTTTACTAAAGATCCCTTGAAGAACCATCTTTTTTAGTGTGCACATGATGAAGTCAGTAACAGAGTAAACAGGCCAGTCTAGCAAACACTGCCATCATCACTACTGCACTGCAGTGGGCTACACACTACACTGTCCACTACCAGCGCTAACACAGACCGGACCTGTCCATCCCGGCTGTGTCATGACAGCTGGACTGCTGGTACTGAAGACAAGCAGCCGTGTACACCTCCTGAGGAAGATGTGATGAAGAGAAACCGTCTAAATCTCGCCGTTACTGCAGAACCCCTAACCCACAGCTCCTAGCTAGGCTAACTAGCTGCAGCAGCTGTTCAGAACCGAGTCTGCTACAGTTACTGCCGGCTCTCTGAAGCTCACCCACTTCACATTCACAGTCCACATTCATACTGACCACATCGGATTCCCGTTTTCCCTCAGAGAATATCTATCCCCGTCCATAGCAGCACGGACACATCAGCACAGGGAGTCCTGTAGGCGACGAACGAACAGGGAAGCATAAAACCACACGGAGAAATCTGAGGGCTGCGTTCCAAACGGCCTACACGCACCCTAGCGAGGGCACAAGAAGGGAGCACGCTAAAGGCAGGCATTTTGTAGTGTGGTTCCAAAGCTGAAGTGTAGAGGAAACCGGTTTGATTCATTTAAATTCAACTTGGAATCAAAGATCTTGGAAATTGATTGGCCTTGTTTGTCCCTGGTCATATTTTATCTCTTATAAAATAATACAAAAAAAAAAATATTAAAAACAATTTATATATTTTTTTCATATGATTTTTATGTTATTTATTATATTTTTAATATTATTTTCATAGACGTGATTTAGTATGTCGTATAAAATAATATACTATATATATATATATATATATATATATATATATATATATATATATATATATATATATATATATATATATATATTTTAAGTATAAGTAAGAAAAATAATAAATTTTATGAGACATGATAAATCACGCCCAATATGACCAGGGACAAACATGGCGAATATACATGTATATATATATATATATATTACAAAATACCTCCTGTAGCTATCACTGCGAGCTGAGAGATCCTCCCTGATACCATGTTTCGGTCATAATAATGTCACAATGTTTAAAGAAAATGTATTATGATTTTTTCTTCATGCTGACTTTAATTCTATACATTTTCCTTAAAAAATAAACGCCATGCATTTCATGATATATATGCAAACTAAGTCTACAGTGTCGATTAACTCCTAGAAAACATTAAATTATAGCAAAATCAAACTAGATTCCCGGTTCATGCTAAATAAAGTTAACTGGTGGCTGAAAGGCACAGTTTTGCTGCTTGTCCATCTATTCACAGTATTATCTTTTTTCTTTAAAAATACGTCCGTCGTAAAGCGGATCTTTGTAATATAGTAATACATGTAATTAAACTGTGTTCTGAATGACCATATTTTGCAGCCCTTCCGAGCTTTTATTATGAAGGGTGGCGGGAGTAGGGAATAGGGAGTAGGGCGTAGCAACAACCAATTAAATTGGATGCGCCAAGAAACTGTATACAAGCAGTAAAGGTCTGGGACGTGTCAAAATAAAAGTCCGAAACAAACAGACATACGACTCTCACAAAAATCAACCTTAGTGACTTTTATTTTTCATTTATTTATGTTATGTTTGCATTTTGCCCTCATCAAACAGAAGTGATTCTATGTAAGGATATAAAGCAGGGCTTCCCAATGCCAGTTCAGGGAACCCCTGATATGAAGCATACAAGGTAACCATGTTTACATTGTAGATAAAGAAGAATAAACTTGAATATATGACAAGAACATGCACAGATTCACTATTAAGACGAAACTGAAGAAGTGATATTTGAAATCAGCCACAGAGGGAGACTTTTCAAAATGTCATTATGAAACTTTATTTAATTTTTATTAAAATACTGATTTGATCTGGTTGAACAGCTTTGACTACCACAGAAAAGGATTTGGAAAATGTCTCTCAGTACATTCAACTTTAAAATACATCTATAAAAAGGGGAACGCACTGAAACATTCCTCACATTATTCTAATCCAAGGCCCAATCCCATTTCTCCCCTCGCCCCTACCACTTAGCCCTTAGCCCTCTGTTTTGCACGTTCACGTCTAGGGGTAGGGTGTCCCAATTTTTGTTGAGATAGAGGGGTAGGGCGAAGTGTTAGGGCTACATAGCCCACCAAATGGAGGTTTTTCAGAGACACACTCCAAACAGAGTGTTATCAGAAAAAAGAAGTGGGCAAGAAGAGCAAGAGACCAAAGAAACCCACAAATGTGAGAATTTTCTCTGTTAAAAAATGACGATAACCACTGTATTGTCTTAGTTTAATGTCGTTTTAATGTATTATGGTCATTTTCTTCATAACAAGCATAAAAAATCACTAATAGCAGGCTAATATTTCGGTAGCTAGCTAGCTAATTTTCCCGTTCCACCTTAAATAGTCCAGTAGTTCTGACACCTGAAGCGCCAGAATGTAACTGCTGCACCATTTAAGGTGGGACGGGAAAATTCGAGCAAGAAGCTGGTGAATATCTGACTTCAGCTTCGTATCACCAAAGAATTAGGGGTGGGTGATAATAAATAATTGTATTAAACCCCTCTTTGAAAACATATGTTGCCCTAAATGTAACTGAAGCCCAGCAGTGAGGAGCTGAACTTTACCCTTCTCGGCTATCACTGAAGACGGGCCGGGTCGCCTACAGAGCAGCGCTAGTAGCCTGGGAAGCAATGTTGTTTTATTTTTTTCGTTTTATTTGAGGGTCCCATTTCGTAGGGCAAGATTTCAACCACTACCCTTTGTAACTCTGTTCCAAGGGGTTAGGGTGACACTCAAAAACAAGGGGTAGGGGTAAAAAGAAGAAATGAGATTGGGCCTAACATTAACATGTAGATGCTTTTCTTCATTCGTCTCAAATCCCAATCACAGCGCTCAGTATCCAGTGTTCTTGATGGTGATCTTCTGAGCCTTCTCAATCTTATAGTCCTTGATGCCTGAGAAGAAAAGCACAGCATCAAGAATGTTTCTAAAATTGCATCAGTTTAGTCCAGACTACCACACATACAGAGAGGTGACGAATTAAAGGAAAACAACCTGAAGGAATAGGTGGAGAAACATAATGAGTGCAGATGCTTCCAGCCTGGTTTACCTGGACTTTGGATCAAGGAAAGATCTAAGAACCTTTAAAAGAGGGCTCATTACTGGGACATGGACTGCAGGATCTTAGGTCACAAAGACTGCTTAACTCTTCAGTGTTTAACCCTCGTGTGGGGTGGGGGTCCGTGGGACATTTTCAATGTTTACCAAAAGAAAAAATGATGCTATTTATTATTATTAACCCCAGATTTCTTGGTCTTTGCTCATTTTCTGTGAAGAATATATAAAATAACACATTTTCAGTGACGTCACACTGTTCACCCCCTACACATTTATATTACACATGTGGTGTTGGGTGAACCTGCGTGGAAAAAAAGTGTGGAGGTGCTGTGTCCTTCACTCTGTTCTCCTCCTACATGCTGCTGTTAGTGTGTGTGTGTGTTTGTGTGTGTGTGTGTGTGTGCGGGTGGACAACATGGACAGGCTGCTGACTGGCTACAGCTGCTAAAGGAGAACCCTACGCTGGACACCTGTGATATTTTAAACATCTGGCATTTTTACATAAATTGTTATGGCTGTATTGATTTTAAATAACAATAATACAGTGGATCCACCAGATCACTGAGTAACAAACACATCAACACCACACAAGGGTTAAATAATAACAGTGACTAAGGCATTGATCTCCATCCCTGGCCCTGGAGAACTACCTTCCTGCACAGTTCAGCTCCAACCTGTAACGAATAAGCTGCCCTGCTTCTTAACTCTAACACATCTGATCCAGCCAATCAGGGGCTTGGGAAGAGGCTGATTAGCTGGAGCAAGAGTGGCAATTTGTGGTTGGATCTAGGCTCTGCAGGAAGGTAGCTCTGCAGGATCAGGGTTGGAGAGCCACTAAGGCAGAGATCTTCAAATCCGGACCTTTAATCCAAAGTCTGGTCCTGGATTTTGTGATCACTGGTAGGTGTGCCACTTGGTGGCCAACCAGTTACATCAGCAGTTCTGTTAAGTACCAGCAACTACAAAATCTGGACTGAAAACTGGATTAAAGGTCCAGATTTGAAGACCTCTGCACTAAAGTGACCTCTGCATTTTGATGTCAGTAAACAGGGTTGAAAGTATGGATGAAAGCGCACATTCAGCAGCTGCGTTGCTTGAACATTAGCGTGATATGCACGTGATCAGACTGTGTCAGCGAGAACATAGAGGTCAGTGGTGTCAAAGCCAGAGACGCTGCTCGTCAGAGACGTGGAAAACAGTGATATGGTCAGATGAGTCATCCTTCACCATATGTCAGACAAAAACCTCATTCCTCCAGAATGGTAACTTTACAGGAGAAGGAAAAGACTTTCACTCTGTTCACCCCCCACACATTTATATTACACATGTGGTGTTGGGTGAACCTGCGTGGAAAAAAGTGTGAAGGTGCTGTGTCCTTCACTCTGTTCTCCTCCTACATGGCCTTCTGTTAGTGTGTGTGTGTGTGTTTGTATGTGTGTGTGTGTGTGAGAGGGTGGACAACATGGACAGGCTGCTGACTGGCTACAGCTGCTAAAGGAGAACCCTACACTGGACACTTGTGATATTTTAAACATCTGGTATTTTTACATAAATTGTTATGGCTGTATTGATTTTAATTAACAATAATACAGTGAATCTCATACTTCATCCTTCACCGTATCGTTGCTGTCAGACAAAAGCTCATACCTCCAAAACGGTAACTTTCTCAACTTTTGATGCAAATTGATGTAAAAAGACTTGGTCACACCTTATTTGGATGGTCCCCTCTGGGTGATCTACAGATACTTAAATCATTAACAAACTTTCTGGTGATATTCAGCTGATTATCAACAACATTAAGGTTAGGATTAGGTTTTAGGAGTAAGTGTAGGTTTTGCCCTGAGGTTAGGGTTAGGGTCAGGTTTAGGGCTAGGGACAGATTTAATGGAATATTTCACATGCAACGTCAAGGTCAGTTGCATTTAATAGCTATTTAGATGAGATAAGTTAGTTAAAAATCGCTGAGCATCTACAGTGGACCGTCCAAATAAAGTGTTACCAAAGATTCCAGTCAATTTTGGACATTTTTTCTATTGGACCATTCATCATGAAACTTCCACACAATATAAAGCTCAGCTGCTGTTTTCAAATTATACATACATACATACATACGTACATCATCTAAACCGCTTATCCTTCTGGGTTGCGGTGGGGTGCTGGAGCCTATCCCAGCTGTCATTGGGCGAAAGGCAGGATACACCCTGGACAGGTCGCCAGTCCATCGCAGGGCAGACAGACAGACATACACAATCACTCACACCTAGGGGCAATTTAGCATGTCCAATTAGCTTAACAGCATGTTTTTGGACTGTGGGAGGAAACCGGAGTACCCGGAGGAAACCCACGCAGACACGGGGAGAACATGCAAACTCCACACAGAAATGACCCTGGTCGCCCGGCCGGGAATCGAACCCAGGCCATTCTTGCTGTGAGGCAACAGCGCTACCCACTGCGCCTGTTTTCCAATTATGTTCAAAAGGGTGTAACGATGCAACGTTTTCTTTTGAAATCAGTGAGTGTGTATACATGCACTCAATAATCCGATCATAATCAGATTTCTGCAGTTATCCGATTATTCAGATGGTCATGGATTTACATTACGTTTATGTCACGTCTTCTTCTGTGAGTTTATTGGTTGGTCTCAAGTGCATGTAAACGTGTTGATCGGATTACTGACAAAATCTGATTTTCTTCAGTTATCGGATTATTAAGTAAATTATGTAAATGCACTCAATGATATTCTCCACAAGTGGGAGAGTGCATGTGCCGTGTACACCAAGACAATGATAGATGCTTATATGCTTGGCCCCTACAGTGAGGGGTTCCAAGGACTCTGTTATGCTGTGGAGGGCATGTTGCTGACATGGTTTGGGTCCACTCATCCCCTTAGAGGATATTTCCATCAGGACAGAAATAGTTTATCCTATAATGAAACATTTCTGTCCTGATGGAAATATTCTCTTATTATACATGCTTAAAACAGATGTGTTACAACACATCCTGTTTCGAAATAGACACATCAGTGTGTTCAGTTGGAGGCAACTTTTAACTTTTAACACAAAATTTTTGAAGTATTTCTACACCCAGTTATGAAAAATAAGTTTTGAGCTATTTTAACACAGAATGTGTTAAATCTGAAAGCAATATGACACAAAATAGTGTTAAAATGGGTAAAACAAGTCGGTTTGTTGTTATTTAACACATCACTTTTTAGTGTATAGTAACTAAAACTACTACTAAAACAAAAACTAGTAGTGTAAAATGTGCTCGTTCAACGTAATAAAAATAAAAACACACCATCTAAATCAAAACTATAATGTCCACTGCAAAATGAACTAAAACAACATAGAATTACTGACAAAAACTTGTTTTCATTTTGTTTTTTTCAGCGCATGATTGAGAGTTTATAAGCAGGTCCCTTCTGTGTTTGGCTGTCTTTAAGAAGAGCTTTAGTCAAGCTGAGCTCAGACTACTGTTTTAATTTCATTCTGTCTTTTGTTATCAAATATCTACTATCACAGCGCTCATCATAATATTAAAATTTAAACTGTAACTGAAATAAAAACTAAACTAAAACTATTACTTTTCAGAGCATAAAACAAAGCTAAACTATTACTTTAGTAAGACCAACTGAAACTAAATTGAAATCAAAACCAAAATGAAAAACTAAATAAAAATAAAAAACTAATGAAAATTTAAAAACTATGATAAACTTGGGCTCTTCCAGGATGACAGTGCCCCCCCACAGGTCATGAGGGCTCACTGTAGGTTCAGTGAGAATGAAAATGATGTATTTTAATTATGTAATTATGTATTTTAATTATGCAACTAATGAAAATGTAAAAACTATGATAAACTTGGTCTCTTCCAGAATGACAGTGCCCCCCCACAGGTCATGAGGGGTCACTGTAGGTTCAGTGAGAATGAAAATTATGTATTTTAATTATGTAATTATGTATTTTATTATGTAATTATGTATTTTAATTATGCAACTAATGAAAATTTAGAAACTATGATAAACTTGGTCTCTTCCAGAATGACAGTGCCCCTCTACAGGTCATGAGGGGTCACTGAAGATTCAGTGAGAATGAAAATGATGTATATGGTGTGATATTTTATTGTCTATTCTCCCATCAGATCTGTGTATTAATTTTGATTCGCAAAGTAGTTGAATCGAATGAAACTGTGGTGAAGTTTGAGATTTTATGATACACTGAAACATTTCCTAAAGGACTGCTGTGAGAAGTCTACACCACCACATATAGGCCTCTAAAGGTTTAGATACACATGGGTTTATACATAGATGTGGGTGTCCGTCTAACTCACCCTCTTTTAGACCATTGCCATCTGAGGAGAGATGCCAATATCTGCGGTCAGTCTGCCGAGCCTGTTCTCCGTTCACCCGGCTAAGGAAGGGTCCCCACAGACTGTCCTCCGTCTCAAACCTACAGCACACAAGACAGATACACAGACGATAAAGCCAAACCGCACTTACCGCTGTTGCCATGGTAACACTGAATGATGGCGCACATGCACATGAATTCCGATCTGAGAGTCACATTAAGGTCGCATGGCTACGAATCAGATACATATCCGATCTAGGACCACATATGAAAGTGGCTAAAGTCGGATTTGAAAAGATCAGATTTGTGTGTCCACACAGACCTGAAAACGTCAGATCTGAGTCACATTAGGGCAAAAAATCGGATTTTTGCCGCTTCAGCCTGGTAATGTGAACGTAGCCTTAGAGATTACTGAACAAAACCACACAGTTTGAGATAAATGTGTGAGGACTGTTGGGTATTAGCATCCATTACTTGCTAGCTACATTAGCCTCATAGCTCCAGTGCATAACTACAGAAACAAAGCTCAGACCCCAAACATGCCTTTAAAGGAATAATTCGCCCAAACTGACCGCATTACTAACAATGAAAAGGTTTCTAGGCCACTGATTAGTGTTATATAAATGAATGCTGCTAAATGGTTTCACTGGATTTCACTCTCTACTGTCAACATTAGCCCTATTTATCGATGTGGTCCTTTAAGATGAAATATTCAAATAAACGAGACTGACGTGAAACCCATCTGATGGTCCTGAAGCAGGGTGAGAACCTCAAGCAGCGAGAAGCCACTGGGAACGTCAAGGCGATACTCTGAGGACGAGCCGTCAGCTTTCAGCACCTCCACCCGCACAGGGACTTTGGTCAGGCTTGGCAGGACTTCCACAACCGGAGCAGCGTCCAGAACAAGAGTGTCTGTTCAGGAGAATAAAAGAAAAAAATCTGTTTCTTTTCAATGATGCGCTGGTTCGAATCTGCTTAAATTAGTCAACAAATTCGTCATTGCCAATACAGATTAGGCAAGACAAAAGGCGCTCTGCAGTGCTCTGTGATGTCCGTATGAGAACACTCTTAGAAATAAAAGGTGCCAGAATGTGTTGGAGCAGAGCGCTATAGGAGAACCACTTTTGATCCCCTAAAGAACCTTTCAGTGGATGGTTCTATAAAGGGCTCATATCCTACATGTTTCCTGCATGTTATTTTTCCTCCTTGATGTCCACTTATAATGTTAGTGTTGTTTTATGTACCAAAAAAAATAATATTTCATTTGTGTGTGACCATCTTCCAACCTCTCTTTACTCCTCAGACTTAAACTGGCTGTTTTTTAACACAACTGTGCCTATAACACTAATATATGTAAATTAGCTCTTTTCTGGGTGCACCACAGTGTGCCTTGCTCAAAAAGCAGTCCTGGCTGAAACCTTCATATGTGAATGGGTAGAGCTAAACTGCTGGGGGGCTAAAGAAGTGGCTAGATGTCAATGCGGTAGTTTTTCTGACATCACAGAAACAATGGATTCAAAACAGGCTGTTTATGCAGCTTAGCTTCTATATATGTATAAAGAAAAATATGTATCTCCAAAACAGTAACTTTACAGGAGAAGGCAAAAATATTACTTACTTTCAAAGTCAATGGAAAGAGATTTTATTCCAAGCAATTTTGGAGCATTTCTATTGGTCCATTCATGTCATTTTCACACAATGTGAAGGACGGCTGCCTTGTTCAAATTTTGAAATTTTAGCAATATTTATACACTACAGCAAATTATTTTTAAAAAATTTTCCATGATACTTCCCATTAACAATGCAACAACAAAGCATAAAGAACCCTTTTAAAGGTTAATGAATCTCTACACACAAGGTTCTATGCCAATAATAATTTTTCCTAGAACCTCACATCTAAAGCCTGTTTAGAAAGCTTTTTATTATTAAGTGACCCTTATTAGTCCCACAATGGAGAAATTTCACCTCCACATTTTAACCCATCCATGCAGTGAAACACCACATACACACTAGTGAACACGCACACTAGGGGGCAGTGAGCACACTTGCCCGGTGCAATGTGCAGCCCTATCCACGGCGCCCGGGGGGGCAGTTGGGGGTTAGGTGCCTTGCTCCAGGGCACTTCAGTCACGTACTGTCGGCTCAGGGTTCCGAACCGGCGACCTTCTGGTAACAAGGCTGGTTCCCTAACCTCCAAGGGGCAGTCGTGGGCTGTAGACTGTACATGCAGTCATTCCAATTGCAATTCACTATTGGGAATGTAGGGGGCGATATGGTTTTTGTTGTTTTGTTTCAACATAAAAGAGCAAACTGGTTTTCACACAGATGTAACTGATGTGATGTAAAAGAAAAAGGAAATCAAAGAAGTTTAAATGTTAAAATAGTCAATTAATCAAACAGCTGAATATATAAAATACGTGACTACAGAAAGTGAGACCGTCTATACCGTCCTCATTGCGGCACTCGTGGCTCTTCAGATGGAGGTAGGAGCGTTGCTGTAGAGCAGGCAGGGTCTGGGAGATGGCCATGGCGTTGTGGTACGACCCCTTTCTAGCGTCTGAACGGAGAGCCTCCATAGAGGTGGAGCACTCCGTCACCTTACTGCCCATCGCCAGCAAAGCCTGAGGAGCAAAGGAGGAGGTAGTCATGATATCCGGTGTGTCTTTTCTAAAAACTGTAGAGAAAGATTCTCGCTTCTACACCAAACTCAAGGCGTACCTGCACAGCCAGTCCAGTGCTGAACTCATTGCCTATGTGTCCATCAGCTCGCTGGGAGTGCTGAAGCTTCTGTTTGATGGTAGCCAGAGGATCGTTCAGGTCCAGCCCATCCTTCACTGGGGTTCCAGCTTCTTTCAAACACTGCAGAGCCATGCCTGCCATCGCATACGAGTCTGTGAAGGGTGAGAGAGGATACCTTCGTATGTGTTGCTGGGAAACAATACATGCAGTTTTTCTCTTAAGCCAAATCATTCAATCAATCCATCAACCAATTAGGCAAACTTCGTTTAAACTCAAGGCACAATGAGTTTCACCCTCATTTACAATATAGCCAAGCCAGAGGGGGCCTTCTAGGCCTTCAGAGAGGGCCTAATGGTCTCTGTGAACTAAAGAAATGCATGTCTTTAATCTTTAATTCATTTTTATTCAATAGAATCATATTTGTTTTTAAACTGTGCAAGTATTACAGTATTACTTGTTTCATTGTTACATTTTGGATGGAAACAAATAGGTTAAATTCTTGAAACACCTATGGAAAACTGGCCAATCAGGAATCATTTTCCTCTGTAGTATCGTGGTGGATATAGCTAAGCGAGCTCTCCTATTGGTTAGGACTTCAGGAGCTGAAGTCCAGTTAGGACTGTAGACCTTACCTGTTAGATTAACTCTCAGCATAATCAGAAAGTGACAGAGGAATCACCTAATCACATTCTGACTAACAGTAGGCGGGACCAATATCATGAGAACAAACATCACTCTAGGCCTTCTGGAAGTTCTAGATACGTCACTGGCTGTGAATACAAGCCTAATTAGCGGGTTGTTAGAACACGTTTTGACTGCGTTTTTCATCACAGTTTGCCACTGAGCCGAGCATCATACAAAAAAAGGGATTCAAAAAAGTAAATAAAAATCTATAATAATAAAAGTGTAACAAAGAAAGTGAAGTAAAGCTCAAGTACCTAATTAAACACACACTTAAAATGGTAGTTCTTCAAGGGTTCTTTAGCAAAGAAAATGTTCTATATAGAACCATCAACATTCAAAGAACACTTTGCATGATTAAAGAGTTCGTTGCATCGTGAAAGTTTCTTCATATTGTTGGAAAAGGGGGTCTATGTAGCACCAAAAAGGGTTCCTCTATTGTAACAAGCCTGACATCATGACATTGTAACAATAGCGGAACACTTTTTGGTGCCACATCAAAAAGGTCCTATATAGAACCATACACAGCACATTCTCCATCAATCTGAAGAACGCTTTCATGATGCAAAGAACCCTTTAATCATGCCAAGGGATCTTGGAGTGTTCATGGTTCTATATAGAACTATTTTCTTTACTAATGAACCCTTGAAGAACAATCATTTTTAAGTGTGCAGTACCCAAGGCAAATTAAATTCAGGCACTTTAAACAATTGAAACCTTGATAAGACCAAAACAAACAAATGAAATCAACCAAGGCATGTTCAGTGTCTTTAGTTTCACACTGGAGCTAAACCTAAAGGACGATATGCCTAAATCATCATATGCTTCCTTTAAATCATGTCAAGTTGTTCAATAATCTGAAATAGACTTGCTTATCACTACTGTTGGAACAAAACCTCGTATCTCCATTTTTGGCGTTGTTCATAATTTGAAAATGCCTGTTGTCCTTTACGTTGTGTGTAAATTTCATGATCATTGGACCAAATTAAACGGCCCAAAATCGCTTGGACAAAAAGTCTGGTTCCATTGACTTGCATTAAAAGTAAAGTACGTTTTTTCCTTCTCCTGTAAAGTTACTATTTTGGAGATTTTCGAGGTTTCGAGGATTGAGGTTTTGTTCCAACAGCAGCGTTATACTGCTTCTGTTTATGTACGAAATACAGAACAAGGGCATCTAAAACAGTAAAAGTGTAGTATCAGGAATTTTGAAGCCTGAATTTTATCTTTCATTCAAACGCAAAAAGCAAACTTCGGACTTCAAACACTTCAGACTTCAGAAAAAAGCCTGAGTCAGCATGCATACTCTTGTTAACAGGGAAGGTAATCTGATTTATGAGCTGTAATTATAGGGTAGGATATGTCATCTTTCATGTTCCAGCTTGCATTAGTGTGAAGTGTGACTGTAACACTGTCACTGTAGAAAGTGTAGAAAGTGTCACTGTAACAAAGCCCTGAAAGTGAACTCCATTTAAAATGGCTCCTGGTAAGTTCTTTAACCTCACCGACGCATATGGAGTCGCCGTGCTTGATCTGGCCGTGCTGGACGGCGTGGATGAGTTTGTGGCTGACGTGTGAGCTGACCCTCACTCCACTCACACACAGAGCCAGAATGCCCAGGGAGTACTGATAGTAGTTGGTCAGGGGACGGTTACTCACTGAGAAGAGAATAAATCCACAAAATATTTAGTGCTGAGTCATGTATCTACATCTATATGTACTGGACTGATATATCAGCAATGATTTCACAAAAGTGTACTGATTTGTTTTGTTTGTTTAAAACCCACTAGTAAACATTAAATTACATATTAGTTTCTCAGTAATTAAATTACAATTATGTTAAATATTCAGCGATAAGTCTTTAGTGTCTAAATAATACAGTTTAAGGATTTAACAGAAATCAGACTGAATGAAAAAGAACATGACTGTCTAACGACAGTCTTAATAATCGGCCATCCATTATCATGACCATTATCATGGTCAGTCTTTTTTGTGTCATTGAGAGAGAGAGAGAGAGAGAGAGAGAGAGAGAGAGAGAGAGAGAGAGACAGAGGCAGACAGAAAAAGAGAATAAAGAAAAAGAGAGAGAGAGAGAGGCAAGAGAGAAAAAAAAGAAAGACAGGCACAGAGAAAAAGAGAGAGGACAAGAGGGCAAGAGAGAGGGGGGGAGAAACAGAGAGTGAGAGAGAGAGACAGAGAGGAGGAGAAAGAGAGAGGGGGAGAGAGAAACAGAGAGTGAGAGACAGAGACAGAGAGGAGGAGAAAGAGAGAGGGGGAGAGCGAGAGACAGATAGAGGGGGGAGAGAGACAGAGAGGAGGAGAAAGAGAGAGGGGCAGAGTGAGAGACAGATAGAGGGGGAGAGAGAGACAGACAAAGAGAAAAAAAGGGGGGCAAGAGAGAGAATAAGAGAATGACAGACAGAGAAAAGGGGAGAGGGCAAGAGGGCGCAAGAGAGAGTGGGAGAGCGAAAGAAAAAGACGGTGAAAAAGAGAGAGAAAGACAGACAGAAAATAACAGAAAGAGGCATAGAGGGAGAGAAAGAGGGAAATACAGACACAGAGAGCAAGACAGACAGACAGACACGGACAAAGAAAGAGAGAAAAGGACAGACAGACAGACAGACAGGGCGCAGTGAGAAAGAGATACAGAAAGACAGGCAGAAACAGAGAGAATGACAGAGTTTGTGTGTGTGTGTGAGAGAGAGAGGGGGTGAGTGTGTTTGAGAGAGAGAGAGAGAGAGAGAAAGGGAAAGAAAGAGGGAAATACAGACACAGGGAGCAAGACAGACAGAGAAGGGGGGAGACAGAGAGAGAGAGACGGACAAAAAAAAGAGAGAAAAAGACAGACAGACAGACAGACAGACAGACAGACAGACGGAAACAGAGAGAATGACAGAGTGTATGTGTGTGAGGGAGAGAGCGAGAGAGAGAGACACTCACATACAATGTTCTCTTTCTCCTTCTCCATCTGCCTCTTGAGGTGGGTGAGCAGGGTGTCGCTGGTCTCTCCCTCAATCAGAGTTAGACTGTTCAGGTCGTGGCAGGAAGACTTCAGAGCCAGAATGTACAGAGCCAGACGGCCCACCACCATCTGACCCCCACTGAGAGAGCTGAACACATACGAAACTCATCAGGGGATTGCTCGCTAGGCAGAAGGGGGCTTCTAATAGGGTCTTACCGCAAAGTGTGGTCTTCACACCAAGGAAGACTCTTTTTCAGGCCTGTCACAATCATTACACAATCACCTGATCGCAATTAGTTCTGTTAACTGCAATCAGACAAGGTGACCGCAGTGATTTTCCACAGCTGTTTTCAGCTTTTATAATTCACAATTATATATTTAGGTTGCATCAAACAGAACTGGGTGCATTTCGTTCAGACAAGTACGTGTTAATAAAAGAACGCAGGAAATGGGTTTTATGAAAGCAACAACAGTTCCACCTGTTGACTTGTTGTAGTAACATCAAGAGCAAGCTAGAGGGCAGCGATGAGTAATGTCTGTTTATTTGAGCTCGAGCTGTGTCTGTGATCAGTTAGGACACACCTGTCAGGGTCCAGTCCTCGCAGGCCAAAACACTGCAAACTTCAGCACGCTGCCTCATTAAACACACCTGATTCAGCTCATCAGCTAATTAGCAAGGCCTTCGTTAACTGAGTTCAGAGCGATAGATGATGGTAAACACTGATCTCCACAGCACTTTGGCCTGGAAGGCCCCTAGCTTGACATGCCTGAGTTAGGAGCTACGAAGTGTCCACAGCTAAGAGGCAAGATAGCTAATCAGTTAATCTGACCATTCTGTACTTTCGTAATTAATTATACTGTAAGCTAAATTTTCATGATTGTGACAGGCCTACACTTTAATGAACGGGTCATTCCACAGAAACGTCCACTTTTCTATCTCTCCATAGGAGTCACTGGTGTTACCCATCCTCATTGTTGTTACAGATAATAAAGGTAACACCAAAGACATTTTTAATGAACAATGCATTTTACAAAGTTTCTGCTACAGAGCATCAGACCACATGTTGTCAATCGTGGAATATCCACTAAAATATGTAATTTAATCCATTTGTGTTCCATTTTTTGACAGGTACCTAAGAATAAAGTGGGTCACACCAGTGACTTCAGCTAAGAGCTTCATATGAAATCATGAGCTAAATGAGAGAATCTCTGATAACTGAAAGACACAGTGGACTCACCATGTGCTTTTCTTCATAGATCCTCAGAAAATAGGTAAAAGGAAGTCAAATGATGTCATCAGTGTGATTTTTATTTCAAAATAAGAGATTTTTTGTTATGTGGTAACACCAGCGACACGACTCCTGGGGACAACAACTTTTATTATATATTTTATAGTACTTAAGTCATTTAATTTATATATATATATATATATATATATATATATATATATATATATATATATATATATATATATACACATACACAATTCATAGTCATGTATAGATTATTGTAGTTAAAATTGCAGAAAAATGTGTTTTTTTTTCTCCAAAATATGGTCTCGCCTTTCACACATGACTGTGGGGACGAGCACTTCTATGGTGCTTGGAATTCTAGATAACTGATTTAAAAACCAATATTGCTAAATTGATGGATCAGGATGGTGTAATTGTTAAAATAACGTATTGGTTTAATTGAAAACGTAAATAAATTGTAACCCTAACATGTTTTTCAGTGTAATATATCTGTAAACACTAGGGACACAAAAAATGGACGTTTCTGTAGAATGACCCAAACATGAAGTTGAGTGACATTTAAAAGAATCAAAGTGTCTCCAAACTCATGGAAGTGTGTGCACTTTCTTATAATATCAGTGTGACCTCAGCAGCGTGTATGAGCTCTTTACTTCTGAATGTCATCGTGGAGTTTGGTTTTGAGGTGGTTGAGGTGCTGGCTCTCCTTGGCCAGGTTGTGGTGAGTGGACAGGCGCAGGGCGATGTGGACGCTGGGGTTGGGCAGAGAGCCGGGCTCTTCAGTGGAGCGCAGCAGCTCCTTATTGAGCCTCAGCACGAGCTCGTCATGATCCTTCGCTGTGGGGTCAGTGTACGACAGAAAATGCACATGAAGTACATTAGTGCACCTGCATACACGCACGTACATTCAACACCCCCCCCCTCCCCCGCCTCATTTTACAGAGGTGGACTTTACACTATGCAAAAGTAGCCACTTTTTACCTTTATTACAGCTTCCATTTATTTCAGGAGACTCGCTTTCAGGTTTTTTTAAAGAAATCTGCAGCGATATTAATCTTATTCCCAAACACAGTCAGTGATGTTAAAGTCTGGACCCTGGGGTGGTCAATCTATTGCTCTGAGAATGGCAGCAGTTTCTTTGTTTGATTTTAAAAACCTTCTTTTTTGTCCATTTCCGTTTCTCAGTGAGGTTCTTCTTGACAGCTACACATGCTTTTAGACCCATAGCGCTGAGTCGTCTTCTCACAGTGGAAGGATGGACAGAAACACCTGTGGATGTTTTCAGATCTGAAGCAGCTTGATTTTCTCCTCTCTCTCAGAGATGAAAGCTTTAAGTGCTGTTTATCTGATAGGGGGCTGTTATGGTGGTCTACTAAGTCTTGCACGGTTGTTAGGAGTCGCTTTTTCTCTGTAGCCTTTAATAACTTCTGAAATCTGTTTCTTCACTTACTTTCCTTTAACTTTCTACTTCCTGCAAATATATCCTCAGAAACATCTCCTGAAAATGAATAACTTGCACTTAATGGCTGTTTTGACTGGAAATATATACAATATTATATATATTTAATTTATATATATATATATTTATATATATATAAATCTAGTGTTAAATAATGTGTAGATTCTAATTTATTATAATTTCTAAATGCAAATAATTTCTCATTTAACTAGGTCCCTATTCCTGTCTTTGGTCCCCAATAACAATAAAGAGCCCATTTCTTATATTTTTTCATTTCATTCTTTTCCTCCAAGATCACTCATGACATTTGTATAGTTTATGCACCCAAAAACAGTCAGAATTTATGGTAACACTTTCTATGAATGTCACCTTCATAAGCATCTATAAACACATGTTATAATGTATTCATAAGGCATTATAAACATGGTTATAAATATTTATAAAAAAAGAATTACACTGAATTACACTTTATAGCCATGTTTATTATACATTATGAATTGTTAATATAATGCATTATAAATAGTGTTAATAACATGTTATAATGTCAATGCCAAAGAAGTCAGTCTCAGCTTGGAGACTGCAAAGTAAAGACAAATACCAAGCTAATGGTGGTGTACACTACCTTTCCCACATTGGGTAAAACACTGATGGCAGCTCTAGTTTAAACTCTGACATTTGAAGCCTGTAATGTGCTTTATTGTTTATGTTTTAGTGTTTCAGTAAATCCTTCAGTAAATACTTCAACTTGAAGCCTCACTCTTAACACTGGAGGAGGCTTTAGTACAGTATGCTTCACTTTACTTAGAGCGGACAGATACAACTTATGAGCTCTTATAATTTGTTATGATCAGTACTTATAATGTATTATGTTAACAATTCATAATGCATAATAAACATGGCTATAATGTATAATGCATTTTTATAAATATTTATAGCTATGTTTATAATGTCTTATGAATGCATTATAACATGTTATGAATGTGTTTATAGATGCTTACAAAGGTGACATTCATAGAAAGTGTTACCGAATTTATTTTGGATGATCATTTTTCAACCTCTTTTTATCTCTTTTTTGATTTGCTGCCTTATTTAAAGCTGTTCAGGCTTATAATTTCAGTTTGATAGGGTGAAGCTAAACAGGTATAGGCTGAATAGGTGTACATATTGTTGCTGTCGGAGCACAACTCATACCTCCAAAATGGTAAAATGGTACAGAAGAAGGAAAAACGTCCTCAATTTTTAATAAAAGTCAATGTAAGGAAATTAAAGGATAAAAGGATATAAAGACTGTAAAAGGATAAAAAGAGATGTAAAATTGGTTTCTATTAGTCTATTCATTGTAAAATTGACTAAATTATAAAATTGAAGTGTAAGAAGCATCTTTCAAATTATGCAAAAAATGAGATTTGAAGTAGAGGTGGGCAATGTGGCAAATATGTAATCACAATATTTCTAGACGTTTTTGTGATACACATTTGTCTCAATGTTTATTTTATTGTATTTTTTTTGACATTTGGTAAGTTACAACATAAAGCAGTGCCACATTGACCCTCTACTGCATAGTGTTGCCATATGGCAACAATTACTTTATCTCAATTTTACTAAAAAGCAGTAACATAAAATCCCTTTTCCCATTTAATTGTGGAAAAACGGTCTTTTACTTTGAAAGGACAAATACTTTATGACATCACACGACCAGGAATTCTTATTATGATGTTTTTACCATACATTCCAAATACCAGTTGAAATTGTATTAATTTCCAGTATTTGTAAATATTGGGCAGTACATTTCACTAAGCATACGTTGGGTTTGTTTGGTCTTGTTTTCAGTAAAAGGACATTTTATGGTGCTTTTTTTATTTTATGGTGCTATGGTACGAGTAATTTACCAAATACCCCGCTTAAAAATGTTTTTTTTTTCAAATATTTCCATTATGTAAACAAATTTAAATAACAAAAACACATTGAAACATTTTTATCATGTGCAAGTAATAATTCATGCAATAGAGGGTTAAAGAATATCAAAGTATCAAAAAAAACAGTGATTTGTATTCAGCGTTCCACACACTGTGCTGCACTAAATCCAAGTCTCCTCTCTCTTAGCAATCAAACATGCAGTTGAGAAGCGTTTTTCAAGCACTGATGACATCCATGATACACTCAGAAAAGCATACTGTGATATATTTTGGCTTAATTTATCACGATATTGATAAATATTGTCATGTTGCCCAGGCCTAATTGGAGGTTTTATGGACTGAGGAGTGAAGATATGTTTTAAAACTTTAACAGTGTTTACACAATACATCAAACGCTTATTTCAAAAAAGAGAGGAAGATCCATTTTGTCAATGACACGGGCCCTTTAAATCTGTCCCTGCTCTTGCACATGTTCATCCTACTCAAACAGAAGCAACGTGAGGAACAGAACAAACTGAAATAAAAAGGCAGTTGAGTCAGGGAAACAGGAAAAGTCACAGGATTTTGCAATGTGCTAATAAACTTTCTATGGATGAATGAGTCACAATCAGTGCTCACTAAAACAGCGGACACACATTCGAGTTCATGGCCTCTCTCTTCTGCCCCGGTCACACTGCTGCCTCAGCAGCGTGAGTTCCTGACACTGACTAGCATGTGACTGTCCTTAAAAACTGCCACTGTCATAAACGCAGAGAGCAAAGTACAGAGAAAAAAACATTCCTCCAACTTCATGAATGAAGGAATCCAAGTCCATGTTCAACCTAAGTGACCTGTTTCCAGATACTGACAACTGTGACTCATCAAAATGAATATTTGTTCCAGTCTCCTGCTTATGGCTTAATTGATTTAAAGGGACAGTGTATAAAATTTAGGGGGTTCTATAAGCAAAAATGGACTATAGTATACAAAATCAGGTTTTCATTAGTGTATAATCACTTGTATCTATGAATCGTTGTATGTTTTTTAGCTTAGAATGAGCCCTTCATACTTACAGAGAGAGCCCAGATCACACAAACCAAACCCTGGCTCTAGAGAGCGCCTTTCGTGGTTTTATGTTGTAACGGCAGCTTGAATTCGGTGGCACTACAGCACCAATTGGAAGATGTACAACCCCATTTCCAAAAAAAATTGGGCCGCTGTGCAAAATGTAGATGAAAACAAAATGCAATGATGTGCAAATCATTTAAACCCTATATTTATTTAAAAATAGTACAAAGACAACACATTAAATGTTGAAACTGCTTTGATGGCAGCAACACGTTCCAAAAAAGTTGGGACGGGGGCAACAAAAGACTGGTAAAGTTGTGTAATGCTATAAAAAAAAACCTAAAGATTAATTGGAAACAGGTCAGAAACATCACTGGGTAGAAAAAGAGCATCTCAGGGAGGCTGAGTCTTTCAGAAGTAAAGATGATGAGGGGTTCAACACTCTGTGAAAGACTTCACGGGCAAGTAGTGCAACAATTCAAGAATAACATTTCTAAACATAAAATAGCAAAGAACTTTTGCTTTCCATCATCTACGTTACATAATATCATTAAAAGATTCAGAGAATCTGGAGAAATCTCTGTATGCAAGGGACAAGGCCAAAAACCAGTATTGGCTAGCCAAGATCTTCGGGCCCTTAGGTGGCACTGCATTAAAAACAGACATGATTCTGTAGTGGAAATCACTGCATGGGCTCAAAAACACTTCTGAAAACCACTGTCTGTGAACACAGTTCATCAATGCATCCTTAACGCAAGTTAAAACTCTAAAACGCAAAGAAGAAACCATATATAAACAGGATCCAGAAATGCTGCCACCTTCTCTGGGCCCGAGCTCATTTAAGATGGACTGAGGCAAAGTGGAAAAGTGTTTTGTGGTCCAACAAATCAAAATTTGAAATTCTTTTTGGAAATCATGGACGCTGCATCCTCCGGTCTAAAGACCATCAGGCTTGTTATCAGCACACCGTTCAAAAACCAGTATTCATGATGGTATAGGGAGGACATTAGTGCACATGGCATGGGTGACCTGCACATCTGTGAAGGCACCAATAATGCTGAACGATATATACATGTTTTGGCAACATCTGCTGCCATCCAGACAACGTCTTTTTCAGGAAAGGCTCTGATTATTTCAGCAAGACAATGTAAAACCACATTCTGCCCAAACTACAATAGCATGGCTCTATAGTAAAAAGGTCACAGTGCTAAACTGACCTGCCTGCAGATCAGATCTGTCACCCACTGAAAATATATGGCATTTTATTAAACAAGAAATAAGACAAACGAGACCCTGAATTGTTGAGGAGCTGAAAACCTATATCAAGTAAGAAAGGGAAAACATTTCACTTTCAAAACTACAGCAGTATCTCCTCAGTTCCCAAACACTTACCGAGAGTGAGACAACATAGTGGTAAACATGCCCCCGTCCCAACTTTTTTGGAACGTGCTGCTGCCCTCAAATTCAAAATGTGCATACATTTTTCAAAAAACAATACAATTTCTCAGTTTTAGGATTTGATATGTTGTCTTTGTACTAGTTTAAATGATTTACACATCATTGCATTTTGTTTTCATTTGCATTTTGCACAGCATCCCAACTTTTTTGGAAATGGGGTTGTAGAAAGAATAAAAATCAGTGGTTGCCGCTGGTGCTAGCTAACCAATATGTGTTGAGAAGTTTGAGAACCCAAATTTACACAAATACAGTATCATGCTTATTTTTTGGCACAAGAAAAAGCAAGGGAGGGTGAATCCTCATAGTCAAAGAAATGAAAACAAGAAGAAGCATGAAATCGGGACAGGCAATGGCAGAAAACCTGACGGCCACCATAGGTTCTGCTACGTGCTTGGAAAGGGAGGGGTGAGGGAGGAGCATTCAGTTGGTTGCAATCTGTAACCTCTACGTTAGATGCCACTAAATTTTACACACTGCACCTTTAAACAACCAAGTGATCAAATGCTGCCAATACAAATATGCATACATTTACATATGTACAGTTTGTGTAGAGTTACATAAAGAATCACCTCAATATTCTCTCATCTTTCTTACCCAGCTAGTATCCTTTATAAGTGCCTTATAATTTATCAACTAAAATAAAGTCATATCATGAGAGCAATCAAACAGCACTTACCATATATACATGAAGACCCTCAGTCCAGCACAATGATAACCAAACAATGGCCAGTTTTTCAAGATAGCTGCATATTTCAGTGGTTGAGATGTAAACAAAGTCATTCAGAGTGGCTTGATGAGAAATGCTTTATTGTAGAGAAATTTACCGACTTGGATTTCTTTACAGTGGTGGTGATAGGAACCAGGGGTCACAGTGTCTAAAGCATAAATATAGCTATTTTATTTGCTATCCAAAACCACCAGTCAACCAAAACATGTCTTCTGAGTTTTATATATAATGTTGATAATGATAACATAGTAATAATTCTAAAAACATAGGATTTCTTTACTGACTATTTTGCCTTAAATCGCCCTGTATGTTCCTCTTCGCCACAAATGGATTTCAAATACATTTTAAGCCAAAACCTTCCCAAAACCGCCTCAAAATAAGTTTTCTTTGGGAACTATGTTGCCTTACAACGTCCTGAATGTATTCCTCCACCAAGAATGGATTAAAATAAATGGTTTAAAATACATTTAAAGGCAAAACTTTATCAAAATCTATCATAAAACAATGTCTCAGATATCAGGCAGCTTATGTCTAACTTTCTCATGCAATACCTTTCTGTGAGGGAGATTTTAGAGGCATTAAATTCTTCAGACGTCTGGTTCCTATCACCACCACTGTGAATAGTTCTGGCTTGGCAAGTTTCTCTAGAACAGACCATTTCACACCAAACCACTCTTAATGACTTAGTGTACGTCACAACCCTTTAATTATGTAGAACTTTTAAAAAATCAGTGGAGTTCCCCTTTAAGTGTTATGAAAACGCAGCTTCTATGAACGTTATAAAATCTGCTCTGAGCACTGTGTTAGTCTGTTATTACTATGTTACTGCTATGTCATTACAGGCTGGATACGGAAATATTAAGTTAGGAACAGAGAAAAGAGAGATTTAATCATACCGCACGGTGATCCTGCTGTCAGTGCAGCCAGCACAGCTACAACGAGGAGAATCGCCTTCATTTTGGGCTGATCTGGACAAAACAAACCAGCAGACCACACAGTTACATACAGAACACACGCAGAAGAAGAACAGGCTGATGGATCGTCGGGCTTACCTGCCTTTCACGGTTATGAGCTGTGAATGAAGGGCAAAACTTCACGCTGCCCACTTGTAAATCAAACTGTCCACATTTTCACCGCTGCCTCTCTGGTCACATGACCACAGCTACCCAAACAAGGCAGAGGTTGAACCAACCAACACTGTTAAAGTGAATATGAACTAAATTACGAGCAGGATTTCACATTTTTTCTTATTTATATAGGTAATACACAAGTTAAAGTAAAAAAGAAACTTTGATAAAATAAAATAATAGTTAAATAATATTTTTCTTCTTCTTCTTTTTATTATTATTATTATTATTATTATTGTTATTATTATTATTAACGTCAAATTTAGTAATGTATAGTGATGGTTAGTACACTTTTTTACATATTCAGGATCGCATTGGCGTTTTAGGGCCACAAAAAATAAAAATAGTACACTTTGAGAATAAAGTCGTAATATTTCGAGAAAAAAAACGTAATTTTTTGAGAAAAAAAGTCGTAGAATTACGACATTAAAGTGGCAGTAATACCAGGAAAGGTCCAATATTGTGGCCAAAGGCTTTGCAAAGGGAAGGCAGCCCCTCCTCATGTTAAAATGAGGGGCGTTGAGTTGGTGGAGTTATACTTTCATATCGATTCACCCATAAAGAAACACTCAGTCTCCCTGTCTCTCCTGCACATCAGCACCAGCCTGTTATTAGTGTAAGAAACGGCTGAAACGGCTGAGCAGGAAACTGTTTATCTAGAATAGAGAGCCAGACGGACTCGGAGGAAACTGGCTGTCTGTGTTGTTGAAGGAGAATCGCAGGCAGGGTCGATTACACGGCTATCGGGGGCTACATCTCCCCCCATTCAAAGAGGGCATGCAGTTACACAGACAGTGAGAATGATGATCAAAATGATCCACAGAGAGACAGGAGTGAGTGGAGCTCCGGCGTCAGTACAGCAACCGAGACACCAACACGGTATGGCAGCCCCGCTACAGTTAGCCCCCCTACAGTTAGCCCTCCTACAGTTAGCCCACTTCATCCTCCAAATATTACGACTTTTTTCTCGAAATATTAAGATACGACTTTGTTCTCGAAGTCTAGTATTTTTATTTTTATTAACAGTGGCCCTAAAACGCCGTGGAAAAATATTTTTTTTATGAAAATACTTATATCTTACTCACTATTAATGAATAAAAAAAACGTGAAAATTGCACAAAACAGTCCATTTCTGTCTCGGACTGTGGCACGCGAGTTTGTTTACAACCTTGAGCCGCACCCGTATGAGGACCACAAACCGCAAACTTAACGGACTACAAGTCCCAGTGCGCACGCGTGTTGCAGAACGTTAGCGTGCCTCCTCGGTTCGCGCAGACGCTGTGTGGGGCGTGCTGTGCGTGGAACGTCAAATTTATGTTTTTCTTCCTCGAGCTGCACAGGCACGCGCTGGCTGGTTCACTACTACGGGAAAAAAAGGTGAACATTCACAACATTTTTGCACGAATTGGACAGCGACTGTTTCGGGCTTTGTCGATATTTAGGGCTGAAAATGGGACGCAGACAACTTACGGCCGGAGTTATGTCGGAGCTAAGCTAGCGCGGCTAAAGCCAGTGAAGCTCCGTGCTTATTAACAATGTTATACTGGAAGTTATAACGTTAGAGTGATAACAGCTGAGTGACCGCAGCGGTGCGAGGGTGTTCATAGCCACAGCTTATCTCTGAAAGAAAAAGTGAAATTTGGTTGCCTTTTAGTTTTAAAGCGAGGCCTTATTTACCATTTAAGGTGGAACGGGAAAATTCGTAGCTACAAGAGGCTGGCGAGCAGAAGTCAGTTACAGCCTCGTCTATTTCGGGTCTTCAGTGACAGCTGTAGCCAGCTGTTCAGACAATGCAGACAAGTTAGATACCAACTTGTTATCTAAATGTTATTAGTGAACTGACTAGTTATCTAACCTAGTAATGTAATGATAATATACTAAGTAACTTACGCTATAATACACTGATCAGCCATGACATTAAAGCCTCCTCCTTGTTTCTACATTCAGTGTCCAGTTTATTAACTCCACTTACTATATAGGTGCACTTTGTAGTTCTACAGTTACAGACTGTAGTCCATCTGTTTCTCTGCTTACTTTGTTACCCTGTTCTTCAGTGGTCAGGACCCCCACAGGACCACCACAGAGCCGGTACTGTTTGGGTGGTGGATCATTCTCAGCACTGCAGTAACACTGACGTGGTGGTGGTGTGTTAGTGTGTGTTGCGCTGGTCTGAGTGGATCAGATACAGCAGTGCTGCTGGAGTTTTTAAACACTGTGTCCACTCACTGTCCACTTTATTAGACACTCCTACCTTGTCGGTCCACCTTGTAGATATAAAGTCAGAGACGATAGCTCATCTGCTGCTGCACAGTTTGTGTTGGTCATCCTCTAGTCCTTCATCATTGGTCACAGGACGCTGTTGGCTGGATATTTTTGGTTGGTGGACTATTCTCAGTCCAGCAGTGACACTTAGGTGTTTAAAAACTCCAGCAGCACTGCTGTGTCTGATCAACTCAGACCAGCGCAACACACACTAACACACCACCACCATGTCAGTGTTACTGCATTGTCTTAGTGCTGAGAATGATCCACCACCCAAATAGTACCTGCTCTGTGAGGGTCCATGGGGGTCCTGACCACTGAAGAACAGGGTAAAAGGGGGCTAACAAAGTATGCAGAGAAACAGATGGACTACAGTCTGTAACTGTAGAACTACAAAGTGCACCTATATAGTAAGTGGAGCTGATAAAATGGACAATGAGTGCAGAAACAAGGAGGTGCTTAATGTTATGCCTGATCGGTGTACACATTATATATATATATATATATATATATATATATATATATATATATATGGTCATTTGATAACACATTTCTTCAATTTTATTTAGTTTCCTTGTGTCCTTTTAATTATTTGGTGCCTGTGAAGTTGCACATATTAGATACATATTTCATTTTATGCCTTCTTTTTATTGATTCCAGACTTTTTTTTTTACAGAGATTCCAGTAGAGCTGTGCAATACGACAGTTTATTGTGATTGTGATAAATTACATCAATATGTGTAAAAATATGCTGAGCATGATCTGGATATCCTCAGTAGTTAAAAATCACTTTCCAACTGCATGTTTGATTGAAAATAGAGCATAAATAGTCCTGTATAATTGGTTTTGGTGCAGCCCAGTATGTGGATTCATAGTTTTTTTATAGTATTTTTAAATTTAGCACTACTTTGTCTGTTGTAAGTCATCATCCGTCAGAAAAAAAACAATATTGTGATGCATCGTGCATCGTAAAAGACTTCCTGATGTGTCATGATATTACATTTTGCCATGTCACCCACCCATAGATTCCAGACATCTCTATCAATATCTATTTTAACTATTCTGTTATATCATCTATAATGACTGTCGTATCTAATCTTATTAGAGACTATTTGAGTTGTATTAATGCACCTTTGTAGGAGTTGTTTGCTGTAGTGTCTGTGATGCTTAGTTGTGCACCTGTTTCTGTAGCTAACTGTGCAGACTACAGGTAAGTCGGATGCTAACTAGTTATCTAACCTAGTGATGCTACTCTTAACATGCTATACTAAACGTAGTTTAAACAGTCAGTATCTCTATGTTTGCGGTAGTCTCAGTTAGTGATCTGTAATGCACGTTTATGTGTCCGTTTTTGCAGAGTGCCTCAGGGATGCACAGCGCCAGTGCAGGCAGCGGTGACCTGGGCTACCTGCCTTTAGCCTACGCTGCCCTTCCGCACTTAAATGCCCCAGAGATGGG